TTCCATCTACACACCTGCAGACACCGGTTCTTTTCCAAAGAGTTACTTACAGGCTGTTCTCTTTCCAATATATGTCGAATGCTAGTTTTCAAACTTCCTGCTTCCCAAATCCTTTCTCACCACCTACCCCTTTCTAATCTAATCTCTGGCCCTGGCTTTTAAATGAGGACCCTGCAATCCTCAGCAAGGAGGAAGTTCACTCTGAAGGGAAGACACGAGGCTCAATACAGCAGGTCAAGGTCTAGTAAAAAGGAAAATCCACCTTAGGAAAGCAATTTCTGAGGGGTCAGAGGATACAGGTGGAGCTGAGAGGGTACAGAGAGAAAAAAACCCATCAAGCCCCTGCTACTTGTAGTAATTGGGAGAGCCACTGCATTCTTCAGAAAGCACAAAGGTCCTCTTGAGGGAAAGGCTTGCTTCTCTCTTTTCCATCCCTCTGGAGAGGAGACTCACCTGAAGAAACCTTTGCAGCCTTCACAGGTCATAGCATTGAAGTGGAAGCCCGTGGCTCGGTCTCCACATACTCCACAGATCCGAGGCACATTCCGGTCAAAGTCACCAGGGTCAGGCAGGGAAGTGCTGGCTGCCATCGCCTCCATCCCTGTAGGAACAGTAGGCAGGCCACAGCCAGGGTGAGAGTCAGTGCCAGAGAGGGCTGGCACCCTTAGCATAGCCAGCGGCCTATGAGAGCTCTTCCTGGACACAGAACAGGAAGTTCCTTGGAGCCTTGGCTGTGTCTTTAAGATCACACTGCATTCAAACCCGACACCTTCCAGCTCTTTACAGGAGTCTCTATACCCCACTTCCTCATCAGAAGAGATGGTCTACTTTTGGGGGTGATCTGAACAAATGTATGCACACTCCCCACAGGCTTTAGCCCAACCGACTTGATCAGGTCAGTGCCACTGTCCAAGAAGAAAATGGGGTGGGGGACAATGGTGTGTACACCCATTGTACACACCATTGCTATTCTAGAGCCTGGGCCATGCACTCACATAGTTCAGGGTCCTAAGTCCTCAGTGGTACCATTTCCATTTTTGTCCCTGATACATTTGGTGTGATTTTGGATATCCTTCTGAGTAGTATGAGTCATTGTCAATTAGCTAATTTTGTTTTCGGAGCTGGCTTCTACAAGTAGGCCTTATCATCCAGACACGGATTTCACACTTGAGGAAAAGGGAGAGACAGGGAACAAAGTGTGGTGGTGCTGGCACGCCCTTCTCAAGAAATGGCTGACCTTCTCTTCCATTAGGTAAACTTGGCCATGGGCTTTGCTTGCTGCCTCTAACTGTCGTCAGGCTCAGAGTTGACTCCAGGACACCTCCGGTCTCCCTAAAATGTTCTTGGACCCAACCTCCTAGTTCTTGTGAACCCTCTCAGAGCCATGGCATGTCTGAGTGGCCTCTTTGACCCAAGACAAGTGGGCTACCTGGGTCAGGAGGAGAAGAGCAGAGAGACAGGGATGAGGGGGCATGTACCCGCCTCTGCCTCAGACTCAGGTACAGTGGGTGAGGAGGTGGGTCTGGGCAAATAGAACCTCAAAACTTATTGTCAGATTGGGGGGGGTCAGGTTTTCAGACAGAGTTTCTCTGTGTAGCTTTGGCTGTCCTGAAACTCACTCTGTAGACCAGGCTGGCCTGGAACTCACAGAGATCTGCTTGCCTCTGCCTCCCGAGTTCTGGGATTAAAGGTGTCCACCACTATCTCCTGGCCCTCTTTTTAATTTCAAGGTTGATTTTTTTTTTCACGTTTCAAATTATTAGTGAGATCTGCCATTTATTTATTTATTTATTTATTTATTTATTTATTTATTTATTTATTTAATTTTGCATGTCTCTGTGGGGAGGTTATGCTTGGTGCACACATGCCATGATATACTTGTAGAAGTCAGAGGACAGCTTGAGGGTTTGTCCTCTCTTTCTCCCATGTGAAAATTGCATCAAATCATCAGGCTTGGCAGCTAATGTTTTTATGTGCTGATCCATCCAAACAGCCCCTGAAATGCTTATTAATCTCAAAACAACTAAAAATAAAGGGAAAAGTCCTTCATACCTGGCAATATTTTCTCTATGCAGATGTTTTCAACCTGTTGCCCATGCACCAAAGATAGCTATAAATGTAGCTTAACACAAAATTGTAAGCTTATTTAAAACATTATAAGGGGTGTGTGTGTGTGTGTGTGTGTGTGTGTGTGTGTGTGTTTGATTTTTTGTTTGTTTTTGTTTAACTTAATTGTGCAGCTCTCAAGCATTTGTCGGCTGGTAATGTCATGTTGCAATGTCAAAAGGTTGAACATGTTGTAGGATGCTCCCATGTCCAATGTGACTCCTACAAGTTACTAGAACATAGCAGGCATTCAAGATGTGGGCAAGGATCCCAGGGCCCAATGTCATGACAGGGTATTAGAAGCAGCTGTTTGGGATGCTTCTGTCTTCACCCCAGGTCATCAGAGATGCTGTTGCTGCTCCAAGTTATCATCATGTTGCTACAGAGCTGGGGTCAGTTGGGCTCCCAGCATCATGTGAGTTTGGTGTGAAAAGGAATTCAATGGGAGATGGGGAGGAAGGCTAGTCCAGTTCAGTCCATCAAGATGAGTCTAGCATCACACGACCCCATTGAAGAGGCTGTGATTGATGTAAGCCAGCTGGAGCTGTGGAGACACTGCTTGGCACAATGCAGGTGAGACACTGCCTTCAAATCATCAGGAGGTCTCCTGGCATGGGGCTAGGAACCATTGCTCTAGGCTGAACAGAGAGGCTAGGTCTGGCCTCAAGAGACACAGAGTGAACAGTATCCTTTCAGGATTATGGAGAGAACGACCAGCTTTGTTTGGGGTTATTAGGTGCTGCTAAAATGTCAGCACTTCACAAGAATCCAGATGGAGAGAGAAGGTTCAGGACTCAAGGGCCAGGAAGTGAAAAGTTCCAGGAGACACTGATAGAGAGCAAGGTGGGCAGAAGGGAGAAAGAGAAGACAGGACACACATCTAAGGAAGATTAAAGCACCCTGGAGTACCTCACAGACCGGGAGTACCCCACTGGCCGGGAGCATCCCACCAACTGGGAGCACCCCACTGACTGGGAGTACCCAACTGACCAGGAACACCCCATTGACTGGAAGCAACCCACTGACCAGGAGTACCCCACTGACCGGGAACTCGAGCTCCCATCCTACCCCACATACCAGAGAGTCTAAGCCATGGATTTTGCTGTTCTGGGACTCACACATGCAAAGACTGGGCAATACTCCCGTCCTTCCCCTGCCTTCTTCTTTGCAATGACCCCTCCTTGCCATTCAAACACAGAGAGCAGGCTAAGGAGCTGGTGGCTGCTGAGGACACACCTACCTGAAGGAGCAGGGGGTGAGCAGAATCCAAGGATGCTCTCCTGAGAAGTCTCGCAGATATGTCCGACCAAAAGAACTCTAGAATGAACAAGGGGAGACATTTCTAAAGGATCTTTGATTTCCCAGGCAGTCCTTTAAGAAGACCCATATGTCATACAAGACTTGCCAGGGGAATTAGGTCCTCAGATAAAAACAGGAAAGAAGTGACTTTGGGGACATGAGGGCTGTTGCTGGCAGGGATGAGGACCTGGGCAGCAGTCAGAATGGCTGTCCCTCAAGACTGAAGGCAAGCAGCATCAAACAGTGAGAAGTGAGGGTCGCAGCTAGAGTACAGTGGGTACAAACAGCTTCCTCCTGCAAGGTCCCCTCTCACTTGGGATCCCCTGTCTGTGGGAGACCTGGTACTCTGCTGACCCTCCTCCAGATTTGGGGGATGTTCTGGGAAATGGAACATAGGACAGCTAGAATACAGCTCAGTGCTGGAGGGGACTGCAGCCTGGAATCCTGACCTCTTGGGTGCCTTCTCGGGCAGGCGTCTGTGATCTGTCTGCAGAGAGTGGGAGTAGGTATGAAGGTGCTGTGGGGGTTAAATACAGCAACACACAGCTTTCCAACCGGATGTTTCCTGCCACTTTTAGCTCTTTTCCAGACATGCAAAGCCTGAAGAGGTAGGTCTGACCCAGGGTCTAGACTCTAGGTCTCAGTGGTATGACTGGTTACCAAGGTGGGGCTGGCAAAATTTCACCCTTCCTACACCTGGCCACGAGACAGACAGACAAAGAGACAGGCAGGCAGGCAGGCA